CTCTCTCTCTCTCTCTCTCTCTCTCTCTCTCTCTCTCTCTCTCTCTCTCTCTCTCTCTCGTAGTCTGCAGATACTGAGAAATCAGGTAGCAAGAGGGGGAGGAGGAGATGGTGGACTTAGAAGAGGAAGAAGAAGAACTCTCTCTCTCTTGCACAGTCCGGTACTAACCTGTGAAGGTGGCGCCTTGTTGCAGGTACCTCGAAGACGAAGCTGGAGCTATGGCGCCACAGGTAAGTCTCCCTGGCCTCCGCCAACCATCTCTCTCTCCAATGCTATTCTAGCTCCTAATAGCGCCCAGCGCTGAAGACTACTGCTAACCCTACTACTACTACCACAGCGCTCCTCCAAAGTGCTGCTGCCGAATCCTGAAGACTGCCTCCTGCCTCCTGCACGTGAAGTGCCTGGGAAGTTCCTTCGAACTACCTTGTGACTGTCTCGTGACTGCCTGCAGCCTGCAGGGCGGGCCAGTCTTATATAGTGCTGGCCCGTCCAGGAGCTGCTCTTGCCAATGCCAAAACATGCCAGACCCTGGTGTTGAAGTTCAAACAAAGGTTGTCTTGAAAACAGGCCAAAAATGGCCGGTACTAAAAACCCTGGTCTGGTGTTTAAGTTTCAGGGCAGGTCGACTTTATGAGGGCCTGAAAATGGCCCTCATTTTCAGGCTTTTAGGCTGAAACGACACAGGGTCTGTAGGCCCTCGTTTTCAGGCTTTCAGGCTGAAACGACACAGGGCCTGTAGGCCCTTGTTTTCAGGCTTTCAGGCTGAAAACGACACGGGGCCTACATTGTTTTCAGGCTTTTAGGCTGAAATGACACAGGGCCTGTAGGCCCCTGCTTTCAGGCTTTCAGGCTTTCAGGCTGAAAACGACACAGGGCCTGTATGGCCCTTGCTTTCCTTGTTTGGTCGGGCCTTGCAGGCCCGTGTGGATGCGCAGTATGCCACCCCCCCCCCTCCTTTAAAGACCGAGCTTACCTGCGAGGGCGAAGCTGCCTGTCGGAGGGAGGGACCAAAGTCCGGGTGGGAGGGGCAGGTTTGCGAAGCATCCTTGGCTGGTCTTCGTTGCTCGTAGTCTGCGTAGATCAGCGGTGCAGATGCTTGCAAATCTGCGAACTTGGTGTCCAAAATGTCGAAGGACACTGTGACGGGCGTGAGGCAGAGGGAGAGCCGAGGGAGAGGAGAGAGAGAGGGAGAGAGTGAGAGCACACACACACACACACACTCGCTCGGCACGACTGAGGGTCGGATGCAGACACAGTGGCAAGGCATTGTACTGGGTAAGGGAAACAGTGTTCAGGAAAACAGGGTGTTTCTATTGATGTTGTAGTGGGTAAGGGAAACAACGGCCAGGGGAACAGGGGATGTCTATTGATGTTCTAGTGGGTACGGGGAACAATGGTTAGGGAAACAGGGATCTGCTAATGATATTCTACAGGGTTGTCAAAGTCAGGAAAAATAAAAATGAAAAATGTTTGTACAGGATGCAAGGGCTGGTGTGTCCGAAGGAGTCGGAAGCAGAATCTCATGTAGGAACAAAGTGTCCAAGTGTCTTGAAAGGGGGTCTGCAGCGGTCTTGATCAGGTCTTTGGAGTAGGTGGTAGAAGTGGTCTTCAGCTGCTGCGATAGGTAAAAGTCCAAGAAGCGGAGTCTTAGTTCAAGTGTCAAAGTCCAAGTGCTAGGGTGCGTCTGGTACACGAACTGCAAAGAGGTCTGATCTGGAAGCAAGGAAGTCGCAGACTGATGCAAAGATCCATGTCACAAGTTGCTGCTCCAGTAAGTCCACGAGTCGGGATTCCGGCCGATGAAACAGCATGGTGGCCAAACCAGCTGCATAATCTCCATGAACAGTGAGGCAGCAGGTCATCATCCTCGTGCACTTGCCATTAGATCCTTTATCGCCGACGTCACACAGATTCACAAGCATTGGACAAGAGAGACAAGGTAGTGGAGACGACAGATGGGATAAGGCTAGGTGAGGGCAAGGGCAGATCAGACATCAGGAATGAAGGTCAAGGGGAGGGTGGACTGGGTTCAAGGGTGTGTGTGGAGCGGGGTTGCGAGGTTGGAGCAGGGTTTATGCCATAGTTATATAGGTATCTAGGACATAGGATTAGCACGATCATAGGCGCAAACAAGTTTCATGGCATTCTTAAGATTAGAGAGAGGTTCCCATGTAGATTTTCCGTCGGGGTATCCGGTCCATTTGACTTTGTATTCAGAGATTGGTTCCGGTTGATCAGATACCTGAGTGGTTCGTCAGCCGATGATGGTTTCGACAATGAATTCAGGGCTTGTGGGTAGCATGATTGGTGGAGGTCTAGGATATGGGCGGTCGGCGAACAGGGGCGCGGATTCATGGTATTCTTTTAGGTACTCTACATGGAAGACTGGATGGACACGACTCATGTCAGGGGGAAGTTGGAGTTTGTAGTTGATGGAGGAGGTTTGTTCAATGATGGGGAAGGGACCGAGCCATTTGTTGGAGAGTTTCTTGGACAAGCCGTGTTCGGGTTCAAAGTGTTTGGCGGAGAGCCAGACTTTGTCCCCTACTTTGAATGACACGTCGCGTCTATGTTTTTAAGTCTTGTTGGCTTGTTGTTCTTGGGTTCGTTCAATGACTTCGGAGGCTTCTCTCGGGAGTCTGTTCATTGTTGCTACCCATTCATTGAGAGAGGGGCAGGGGGTGGATGGGTTAAGCTGCGAAGGGAGCAAGAAGTCAGAGGGCAAGCGAGGGTGGTAGCCCAGGTTGAGGTAGAATGGGGACATGCCGGTGGAAGGGCAGACGGCGTTGTTGTAGGCAATCTCGGCGGCTGTGAGCAACTGATCCCAATCGTGTTGGTGTGGATGACAATACTTCCACAGGATTCTTTGGAGTGTATCGTTCATCTTCTCGGTTCGTCAATCGGTCTGTGGGTGGAATGCAGTGCTGTACTTGAGCGTGGTTCCGTAGGCCGTGAAGAGTTGTTTCCAGAATTGTGAGAGGAAGCGAGGATCACGGTCACTGATGATGTTCTCGGGGCGGCCGTGATGGCGAGCAACATGGTCGAAGAAGAGTGTGGCGACGTCTTTGGCACTGTGCGAGGTCGTACAAGGGACGAAGTGGGCACGTTTGGTCAAGCGACAGACAATGACGTAGATGCAATCATGTTCAAGGTCGGTCTTGGGGAGGCCGCACACGAAGTCCATGGAGATGGACTGCCACCGGTGAGTTGGGATGGGCAACGATTGGAGCTTATCGGGTTTGGCCCGGTTCGAAGGGTTGATAGCTTGACACGTGGGGCATGAGCGAATGTATGCCTTGACGTCGGCGAGTAGGGAAGGCCAGTAGAAGTAGTGGGAGATGGTGTCAAAGGTTTTTTAGAAACCGAGATGCCCTGCGGTCTTGGCGTCGTGGTGCTCGGCCAAGAGCTGAGTACGGAGGCCTCGTGCGTCGGGGATGCAAAGTCGGCGAGTGCCTTTGGTATCGATGTAGAGGAGGTTGTTGTGGAGGGAGTAGTCGGGAACTGGGTCAAGATCGCGGAGTTTGTTGTAAATGGTGGCGAACTTTGGGCAGGAGAGATAGCCTTGGGTGTATCGAGGATGAAGTGATGGAAGGAGTTGGATATGAGTCATGGCGGCGTAGACTTTCTCGAGGGCTTGTAGTCGGGTCGTCGAGAGAGGGCATCCGCAATGCGGTTGCTTTTGTCGGGGGTATGGCAAATGGTGAATGCGAATTGGGCAAGGAAGTCTAGCCAGCGGGCTTGGCGTGGAGTGATATCTTTCTTGGAGAGGACGGAGGAGACGATGGTGTTGTCAGTGCGGATGGTGAAGTATTGCCCGTCGAGGTATGGGCGCCAGACTGTGAGGGTGTGAATCACGACGAGGAGTTCCTTCTCGTTGGAGGGGTAATTCATCTCTGCGGGAAGGAGCTTCTTGCTTGCGAAGGCGATGGGGTATTCGCCAGGTGGAGCCTCGGGGTGAGTGGGCGAGTCCTTGATGGAGGGGGTCTCGGCGGTGTCGCGGGGGAAATGTTGGCACAGTACGGCTCCGATGGCGAAGTCGGAGGCGTAAGTGGTGATATAGAAATGGCGAGAGGGGTCGGCGATCTTTAGGACAGGGGCCGTTCTGATGGTTTGCTTAAGTCGAAAGTGTGTTGGCGGCGATCGTTCCAATGGAAGGGCTCGTCCTTGCGGGTGAGTTCGTGGAGAGGGTAAGAGATCTCGGAAAAGTTGTGAATGAACGGGCGGTAATAGTTGGCAAGGCCGAGGAAGGAACGGAGTTGGAGGAGGGTCTTGGGTGGGGGGTACTCGACGAGGGTTGTGACCTTCAAGGGGTCCATACGGATGCCTTCAGCGGAGACAATATGGCCGAGGTATTCGGTGCTCGAAGCGGCAAACGTACATTTGCTGAGCTTGGCGTATAATTTTTGCTCTCGGAGGATCAAGAGGACTAGGCAGAGGTGCTGAAGGTGAGACTCGAAGGTGGGGCTGAAGACAAGGATGTCATCAAGGTAGACGACGACACAGACTTCGACGAGGTTGTGGAAGATGTGGTTCATGGTAGATTGGAAGGTAGCGGGGGCATTGGTGAGTCCGAATGGCATCACGAGGAACTCATAGTGCCCGAAACGAGAACGGAAGGCGGTCTTGTGGGTGTCCTCCTCGCGGATACGGATCTGGTGGAAGCCACTACGAAGGTCGATCTTGGTAAAGTACTTTGCTCCATGAAGACGATCAAGGAGCTCGGAAATCCGAGGTAGGGGGTACTTGTTCTTGATCGTGATCTGGTTCAAGGCGCGGTAGTCTGTGTACATGCGGAGTTCAGAAGTTCCACCTTTCTTGACGAAAAGGCAGCTGGTTCCGAAGGGGGATGAACTTTGCTTAATGAACCCTTTTTCAAGGAGTTCACCGAGTTGCCGCTTCATTTCTTCGGCTTCGGGGACAGAGAGTTGGTATGGAGGGCGGCAAGGTGGAGAATGTCCGGGTTCCAAATCGATGGT